TCTGACTAAATTATTAATTTGTAATCTAAATTTGAAGAGGTATATCTCTAGTGATTTGGGCTCCAGGTGCATACAAAATAAAGGGGAAGGCATGCAACTAATGATAAGCAGCAAAGCAATTGTATTAAACATCAGATGAAACAGCAGTGTTTCTAACTTTACTATATGGATTAGCCTGCTAGCGTGGCAATAACAAAATACTATAGATTGGTGACTTAAACAACAGAAATTGATTTCTCACGGTTCTGGAAGCTGGAAGTCCGAGGTATAGATGTTGTCAGGTTTGGTTTCTGGCTTGTATGTGACCACCTTCTTACTGGGTCTTAGAGGACCCTTTCTTTATGTGTCCTCCTCTTCATCTTCATAGGACACCATTCCTATTAGATTAGGGCCCAACCCTTGTGACTTCATTTAACCTTAATTACCTCCTTAACGACCCTGTCTCCAAATACAGTCACTTGGGGTTTATGGCTTGAACATACAAAGGGGTGGGGTGGGGGCACAGTTGAATCCATACATTATGTTAAAGGTTTGGCAATATTTGGAACATATAGGGGCTCTGCAAATAACTGGGACTATAAAACGGCAAAGGAGACATGGAGAACAAAGTTCCTTTGTAGAGTGTGTAATCTTGAGACAGAGACAGAAAAAGTTGAGACAAACACAAACATTTAAGCTGTGATATGTGCTGTTAAGGAAAATACCACGGTTCCAAAATAGAGAAAGATAAAGTGGATCTACTTTTGATAGGGTGGTCGGGGAAGGTCTTTCTGAGAAGTAACATGTCAGCTCAGAGCTGAAGGATGAGAAGACATTAGCAAAAGAATGTTCTAGAGAAGGGCAACAGTATGCGCAAAGGTCCTGAGACAGGAAAGAACAGAAAGAAGGCAAGGATGACAGGGGCATGGTGATCAAGAGTGAGGTAAGTAGTTCTGAGAGGGAGACATGAGGTCTGAGGTAGGTAGGAATCAAAACTTATGGGTCATGGGAGAAGTGTGTTCTTTAGGCCTAATTGCAGTATGAAACCAACTGGTATTTTATAAAGACCACTCTAGCCACTGTAAGGGAAGAGACCAGGCAGCAGTGGGTGAGGGGAAATACATGTTAGGAGATAATTGCTGTATGCAGGGGAGAGGTGCTGCAGGCTTGGATCAGGCTGGCAGCATTGCAGACTGGAAAACAGACTGGAGAGACATTTTGGAAGAGGATTCAACCGATTTGAGGAAGTACCTGGCTGTGGTAAATGAAGACAAGGAGGAGTCCAGGATTACTTTTAGGTTCCTGACCTGGGCAACAGATAGGCCACGTCTCTAAAAGGAAAGGACTAAGTAGGGAATGTCTTGGGGGAAGAGGGGAGGATGAGAATTGAGAGTTCTGTTTTGAACAGTTATACCTAAAGTAAATCCAAGTAGCGATGTCAGGTGGTTGGTTAGGTATATAGTGTGGAGCTCAGAGGAGAGGCTTGGAAGCCATTACTATATTGATGGCATTGGAAGCCATAGAAGAGAGTATAATAAAGAAAAGATGTCCAGAATTAAGCCATTCAACAAGCAGTAATCCCAGATGTGATGCAAAAATTTAGTCAATGAACCATCTATAACGTGGGTTTGGGGATGGGGAAGAAGGATGGAGGGAGAGCGATTGAGAATCCATCTCATTAGGTCAGTCAAGCTGTAATGCAGGCTTACACCAGAGTAAATGAGAACTGATCCTTTTTCTCGTCCTATCATATCTTCTCTTCCAGGGCACTCTGATTTCATCTCCCAATGCCGACTGTTGCCTCTAGGTTTATATTTCAGTCTTAACAGTTTTACTTGCTTGCTAAATACCCCACTTTGGGTTTCCCTCAGTACCTCAAACAAAATACTTGGTCAAATCCAGCTTATTTGTTCCATCTACCATAGCATTGCTCTTTTGATACTCCTACTCCCAGGAAATGTGAGGTGGGACTTCCTTCTTGTTTCTTCTTATTTTCCTTAATGAGTAAGTGGCCAAATCTTGTTGGTTACACATCAGTAATATTATTTAATCAGGCTAAATTTTCATTTGTAAAATATATTAGCTTTAAAAAGTATCCACTGTTATCATAAATGCTAATAAATAAAATTCTTTTAATCAAAGATTCAATGTTATTTTTGTAAGAACTGCATTTTCTTCAAATCTTCCACCTAAAAATTTACCTTTGGACTAAGATATAGTATGAAGAAGAGTGAAGCCAGCTTACAGAGATATTTAGACTGCAAAGGTATTCAACCTTAGCAGAAGCAGCCAGTTTGGTTCTATCTTTATCATCACATTTAGGAATGAATCACTGAAAACAGAGATAGAAATAGAGATGGATAGGAAAGTCTTGGCCATCTAATTCATCTCCTTGTTGTGCCGGGAAGGGTTTTTTTTTTATGTCAAATGCCAGTGAGATATTGTGCAATAAAAGCCTTAGATTGCAACATTTCAATCATTTTTGTTGGGCGACTAATTATCTTTCAAGTTGCTTTCAGCATTGTTCTCTGAAGTCCTTTTCATGTATCCCTGTTATATGAGAGATGTTTCCCTTTCTATACAGAAATGGCCTGGGACCTAAAAGGGATAAACTCCAATTATTTTTTCATAATAGTGATGAGTCTGCATTAAGTCAACATCCCTCCTTATGATCCTTTCTGTGACCAGTAACTCACATTTGTGAGATCATTACCCAGAACAAGCTTGTTACCAGAGGATGGTTAAAAACAAACAGGAACCTCCTTTCAGAATCAAACATGTCCCTTGGCACCTTATGGTGCAGAAGCATTATTCTCATGGGGTTCCCAATAGAATTCTTGGTGTGGGATGACCTCCTCATTATCCCTGTAGCTTTGATGAGGGGAGGAGTGGAGTGGGGATGGCATTTGGGAAAATTATTGTTTTTAAGCTCTTTGGCTATTGTTCAACATCGCTCAGTTATCTCACATTGTTTTAATCACATAATATGGTGTGTGCTCTTTTGAGAGCTATGTTTTATTGTTTTTTTCCTAATTATTGACTTCCTATATTCAATTTTATACCTTCCCCCGTTTAAAAACCATTCTTAGGTCTCTAGGTATTATTCCTCCAAGTTCTATGATATCTGCATGTCACTTGGTTGAGACTTGTCTGTAATGCCATTAACATGCTCCATTCCTCCTATTTGTCATCCTTAATAAAGGTGCTAAATTCCTTTGTGTCTTCTCACCAGCCACACCCTTCTCCCCCAAACTGAATATGCTCCATAAAACATTATCTTTCGTTTCTAGTGTTTGACATAATTCTTAATCCAGTTGAGTCCACTCTTACTCAAGCCAATTAGTTTGGGCAAGTTCACATAACCTTTTTAACTGATTTCTGAAACTTCAATTATGTGACTAAAGTAATTTTAGTATTTTTCAAAAGCTCTTCCTTGGCAGTGCCGAGCAATAATGATGAGCTGCTTGTGGAAAGCAATAACGTAGGAACTCTAGAATGGATTGCTATCTTAGCTTTCATATGCTCCGCATTTCCTTTACTGAGTCCTGACTTGCACTTTTAAGAAGGTGACACTTTATAATAACATTCCCCTCTACTCCCAGGTTGAGTCTATAAAACTAGAGACTAGGCAAAAGGCCACAGTTGGCTCTGGATACAAAGAGTAAAAGGTTGTGTCTGACTTGACCTTTCTCACATATTATAGAATTCTGGCAACTACCCAGAACTGCTTTTCTAGGAGAATATGTAATCTATATGTATAAAAGCCTCAGTGACCAAACGACCCAATGACCCAACAACTGGTCAACCAGTCACTATGATATCCACTGACCACCAGGGGGCAGATGGTCAGTGCACTCCCACAGCCAACCTCCACGATCACTCCGCCCAGCTGGCCAACCTCCCCTAGTCACTCCCCACCGCCAGCCAACCTCCCGTGGTCCTTCCCGCTGGTTGGCCGGCCCTGATCGTCCCAACAGGGACTGGGCAAGATGACCCCATTGGTCCTGATCACTGGCCAGGCTGGGGGAGCCCACCCATGCATGAATTTATGCACCAGGCCTCTAGTTAAAATATAAAGAAGTAGCAGTTTTAAGGCTTATCAGAAATGTCAATGGATGTTCTTGGATTTAGTAAAGTGTGTCAAAAGAAAATACGAGTTCCACTGGTCTGTAGAGCACATGAACTCAGCATTGCCTCCCCCTTTTGCCATGCATGCATGCGTGCAGGGGCAAGCATGTCACCGAGAACACTTCATTCCTGGTCTCATCTGGTGTACTAGGGAACCCTGCAGCCACAGAGATCACAACAGCTGTAATAAATAAAGCATCTATTTAATACATTTTCATGCCAAATATTATTCAGCATTCTTTGTCCTCAGTTTGATAGAAAACAGCATGGTGAACTTACTACCTCTCCTTACTGCAGTGAGCCCACATAACTATGAAAGTTTTAACAGTTCAAACCTGCACATAGGCAAAACCACCATTCCCTCTATTTTAAAATTATTAAGACAATAATACAGAGAACAAAAAATGTAATAAAGGAAGTCTGTTATCATTATTGAAGAGATATTAGAATTAGTGCTAGGCTTTTTTATTCTCCTCAGGAAAGATAATGAGAAGCATTCAGAATATGTGTCCATGCAAATGTATGGGTTAGAGGGGGGGTCTTTAAAAAATAAATGTTACATATGTGGCAATATGAGGAAGAATATTCTTAAGGAATTTCACAGAATTTTTATGTAAAGTCTCATCATACAGTATTATGATCTCAGGGATATTTTGTGATATTTACCAAGTCTTCTGAGAGTTCATTTATTCAGGCTCTACTTTAAGGAGGAACTTATAAGATTCAGAGCTAAAATATAATTCTGGAACATGCCCAGCTGATCCCATTAAATCCAACCTGAAAAGGAGCAGTATAATGATATGAACAATTCGCATTCTTTGAGCTGTTACACCTCACTTGAAATGCATTCCTTCTGGATTAAAACAGCAATTCCCCTTTGTTTCTCTCTCTAGGCCGAGGTTCAGCTATGCTACCTGGAAGCACAAAGAGATGCCGTCGAGCAGATGTCCCTCAAGCTGTACAGCGAGCAGTACACCAGCAGCAGCAAGAGGAAGGAAGAGTTTGCTGATATGTCAAAAGTTCATGCGGTGGGAGGCACAGGGTAGGGAACTACTCTTTGTGTTGTTTTATCCTCCCTAATCTCCACTTTTTCGGTGATTTTGCACTGGTAGGCGTGAGGCAGGCATTTCCTCCCTAGGTAACAGATAAGAAGCAGCTCGCTAGAATAGGTAGGCATTTATGTTCTTTTTCATCCGTGCCTTGAGAGATGTTTCCCTTTCTATACAGAAATAGCCTGGGATCTAAAAGGGATAAACTCCAGTTATTTTTTCATAATAGTGACGAGTCCGCATTAAGTCAACATCCATAGAATTGAAGACTGTAGATTTTACCAGCCTCTGTCACCTAACCCAGAACTTCCTCACTTTGTTGGGATTTATTGAAAAGCAGCCTTGTGATTTTACCAGTATTTGTGTGACTATATCGTGCCTATAGTATTGGTGGTTTTAATTTATAAATTTATTTTTCAGTGTATTTCCCCCTTATTAGGAGTAACCATTCTTTTAAAGTTTGTCTATGGATCTTTTAAACCCCAGAACCTTTGTAGAACATAATTTTCCTGAAAAATGTAGATATTTAATAATTGTTTAGAGACCATGGCTGATCGGTTTGCTTCATGTAAAGTCAACTGGTATAATAGACTAGCATCTGAATTGTTTAGGGCAGTGGTTGGCAAACTCATTAGTCAACAGAGCCAAATATCAATAGTACAACAATTGAAATTTCTTTTGAGAGCCAAATTTTTAAAACTTAAACTATATAGGTAGGTACATTGTTATTAACTTAATTAGGGTACTCCTAAGGCTTAGGAAGAGCCACACTCAAGGGGCCAAAGAACCGGATGTGGCTCGCGAGCCGCAGTTTGCCAATCACGGGTCTAGGGTGAGTGAAAGGACCCAGCAACATCAGTAACCCATGGGCAGTTTTATTTGGCCTGAGACATATGGCTGTATTTACATTATATTATCTACCCATCTTCTAAATAATTATCATGCATTCAGATATTTCCAATGGCTCTAAAGTTATGCAAACATTGTGTATATATATTTTTTCTTTTTTGTCTCTTCTAGCTTAATGTTAATATTTAGTAGGTAAAAATTAAACAGTAAAAGAGTAGTAATGAAAGTTAATTATTTCATAGTTTTAATGACTTGATAATAATTATACTCATAAAAATGGAAGCAGTAACCTATTTTACTTTTATACTTGAGCCAGACAACTAAGGAGCGGTACTGTTCCCCCAAGTCTGTTACATATTAAGAGCATCTTATTACCCTATGAGGTGTAACTCTAGCTAAAATATTTCCTGAAAGGCAGGTGGAAAAGAAATCTTTTTAGGTACTTGTTTGCAGTTATCTTTTAAGTACTCATAGTTTTTATTGGACTTTACATCCCCACATAAATTTTTGGGATAAATTAAGTATGCTGACTACAGATTCTGTCTTGTGCTATGATCCAGGATCTAAGAATACAGGCAAAGGATCAGAATCATAATTCTGTTTAAGAATTGAGAAATATATTTTTAAATTCACTTTTCTATATATTTTGTTGCTCTGTCAGGATTTCTTTTATCCATAGACATGCTACATATATATATATTTGATTACTCATTTAATTCAGTAGACATTTATTCACAAGAAGAAAAGCATAGAAGCAAATAAGAAAGAAAAGGTTAAAACTTGGAGCATAAACAATAAGCTGTTTTGAGGCCTCAATGTGCTTTAATTTCCCTGAATGCCTAAGTGATCTCTGGTGTACACGCAAGCACAAACTTTAGGTCACATTTTCATGTTTTCTAAAGCCCTGGAGACTGAACGGGCACCACGTGCTTCTGACCTCAGATTCCAAGGACCCAACCTGAGTACTTACTCTGGGCTCCACAAATCATAACTCTGCCCTGGGAATTGCTTAGTTAACAACAAGCATTGTTCAGGGACATGGGAGTAGGTGAACTTGCCTGATATCTTTTGTTTATGCTCCTTGGGGTACTGAAGGCTGTGCATTGTGCAGAAATTTAAGAGTGTGCTGAAGAAAAAGCAGCTATTTAATACTAAGGACAAAAACCATATACTATTTTCTACTTTCTGTTTACACACAGAAAAGCATTGTGTGAGAAATGCATGTGGGTGAGGTTATCTGGGTTGTTCTGCCCTCAAGACTCTTTGCTCCCACAGTCAAATCCTTAATTCTGAAACCTTAAGAACATTGCCTTGTAAAATGATCTGCTCCATGACACACAAACTTCATTAACTTTTTCTTTTGTTGCATAGACTGATCATTGTTTCTGGTAAGCAATTGTGGGAATAGTGTGGGCTTTCTAGGGTCTTCATTCCGTATGCAGATCTCCAATCTACTGAAGAGAAAATTAAGTTGGTGGTACAATTCACATATTTTTTTATTTTCTTTCCTTGTCTACACCCATGATAAAGAGAGTACATAGCGGGAAAATGTGCTAGACTACCCAGTGGACGACTCAGATTCTACATAGAATAATGATCTTACATTCCTAAGAATTTTACACAACCAAAATATCATTTAGAAATGAACTTACCACTCTGGCTTGACAGACAGGTGTGTCCCACGGTGCACACCTATGAAGGTGTGTTTAGCAGCCATGTAGGTTTGGCTGGAAGATTTCCCCGAATGCTTGTGAGGCCATGTAAGCTTTAGTCACAGGGTGTGTTTGCCTGTGGGGGACATTTGGCACTGGCTCCAGCATTGCAAAGTGGGAAACTGTGGCTCCCTGGGGGATATGCAATGTCTCAGTCACCCAACAACTTTTCCTCTGAGAGCAGGTTGGTGCTTTTTGATTCCCGCCAATTTAAATGAAAGCATTTATAGATGGGTTGGTTTCTTTCATTTCATAAATATTCATTGAAGACATACTATGTTCATGGCATGATGCCCTGAGCAGAGTTTGTTAAGAACACCGACGTTTTATAGATTTTGTAAAGTATAACCCTCTTTTTTCCCAACACCGCTTTCTACTGCAAAAAATTCATTTTTTACATGAATTTCAAAGATTCTGTTGAATTCATTAATTGGCATCCTACTTGCTGGCAAGACTTAGATTACAAACCATGTCTTTTATTCAGCTTATAAATGATGGAACTGGGAGGCAAAATGGCTGGGAGACTGGCTTGTCCAGGATGATGATGTAGGATGGAGCTAAGACCTCAACTCAGAAACCTGGGTCAGAATGCAGTGGGCAATCCATAAGTCATGCTTTGCTCTCTCTCTGAAGGATTTTATTCCAACAATTGATAAACATTTTCCCCTTAAATTCCATGTTGTGCATATTCCATACTTTATGAAATTTAAATTATAGTCTCTTCTACTATGGAGAACTGCAAAGAATATTAAGAATATTTTATTAAAGCCACAAGGAAGTTTGGGCAAAACTTAGCAAAGTAGGCTTCAGTGAAAACAAAATTGACTTCATCATTGATTTGGCAAATAGTATTATATGTACCTGCTATATGAAGTACAGAAATTAAAAGGCAAAATAAAATGGTCCCTGACTTTGAGAGGCCCAGGGTTTGGTAGGAGGAGCCAGATCTGTAAACAATATGGAATAAAAGATCACAAATGCTGAGTTAAAATCTGCATGAGGTTAAGGGTGGGGCTCATGGAAGGCAGAGCTGTTCTGACTGGTGGGAGTGAGTCAGAGCAGGTCAGGAAAGACATCACAGACAGAGGACTCTGGAGATGAATTTTGAAAGAGGGCAAGGTCAGGGGCAGAGCTTTTCAGTTTAATGTGAGTAAACGTTTATTGAGCATCTACAAAGACAGACCGCAGCTTCTGCTTTCATGAAATTTACAGTCTAGCAAGACAGTGCAGTTCATGTTAAGCCAGTATTTGTCTGTGCAACAAGAGAGAAGGGAAAGCAATGAGAGATGGGGAGCTCAGAGCAATGGGGTGGGCTTCATGAGATAGAGCTGTGTCTCTTGTGTTTACCACACTGCTCTGAATCTGGAGCAGTGCCTGGCAAATGCTGGGGCTCAGTGAATGAATAGATGCATGAATGAATAACTAAAACTAATCCTGGGCTCAGAGAGAGAGAGCAGAGGTCTGGAGTCATCAGACCGCCTGCTTTTTCATATGACTGGAGAGCAGGGTTGAAAGTTGGAGGGGTGTGAAAAGTAAGGCTTGGGAAGAAGGGGAAGCCCAGATCCTGGAGTTAATCATTGAGTTCATGGTTCTTCACCAGGATAGTGCATCAGGGTCACCTGTGGAGCTTTTAAGCTGAAAAATAAAAAAATGCCTGTCTACCCCAACCCAATGAAAATTCGGATTCAGTAGGTAGAGTGGGCCAAGATATGATTATGTCCTAATGCTTACTTCCAGCTGTGAGCCATTGCTCTAGTGGTTTTCAAAATATAGTTTCTGGACCAGCAGCATCAATATCTCCTGTGAATTTGTTGGAAGTGCCAATTCTGGGCCCCACTCCAGATTTACTAAATTGGAATGTATGGGGTCCAACGTCATTTAACAAGTCATTCAGGTGATTCAGATGCAGTTTGAGAAACACTGCTTTTGTCTTAAAGATTTTAGGTTGGAAATGAATGGAGAAGGATACAGATAGTCATGGAGGGGATATAAAGTATAGCATAGGGAATATAGTCAATAATATTGTAACAACTATGGATGGTGTTAGATTTATCGAGGTAATTAATTAATACGTTATATAATGTCCAATCACTGGGTTATATACCTGAAACTAATAATTATATGTCAACTGTAGTTGAAAAGTAAGAAAATTTTTAAAATAAATTAATGGAGAATGTGGAGACTGAATTAGAAACTAAAGCCTGAAAAAAAAATCAATAAACATTGGATGAGGGGAATGATACTGCATTTTCTGGTTCACGGAGGAGAAAGAATAGAGGAGGCTTTGGATTCAACTGACTTTGGTGTCATTCAACATCTAATATTTATTGATTTCTACTATTAAGTGCTGGCTGAAGTAGGCCTTGTGATGTAGAGACAATGGGAGACAGAGGGTGACAGATGTATGTAAATCAGGAAAGCCTTCCAGGAAA